AGTCAGGCCAAGGACCGTCCGATATCCGCGTACGTACCTCAAGCTGCCCAACAGCAAGCTTATCCGGTCGGTGGTGGTGGTCTGTCGCAGCAACAAAACTCGGCAGCGCCGCCGAGGTCTCAGTCGTCTCGAGACATAATACGACAAGAAGCGAAGCTTCAAGAAATGCAGGAGGAGGTCAGAAGACGTGAGTTACGTGGTGGCATTCCAGCTTCGTTGAACCAGTATCGACCACCAAACGCGTACAATTTGAAAACGAGCATGTCATCTGTTCAATCGTCGTCGTCGGTCGGCGATCGTTCTGGCGTCGTCCGACCGGCCACAAAGTCTGTCGGTTCTCAACCAAATTTGGGATCGAGTCCGCCGGTGACGGTGCCGTCGACACCGTTGACCTCGGTGTCTGGCCATATAGCCGCAAGGCAAACGGCTCCTTCGAATTCTGGTTACTTGGATACGCAGTACGGCTCGTACAATATGGTTCAATATGGAAAGCCTTCGCACCTGCACCAACATCAACACCAACATCAACACCAATCTCAACCTCAGCATCCACATCAGCATCAGCATCAGCATCAGCATCAGCATCAGCATCAGCATCAGCATCAGTATCAGCATCAACATCAGCACCAACATCAGCATCAACAGCACCAGCATCAGCATCAACACCAACATCAAAATATACAACAACAACAACAACAACAACAACAAAATCTTGGACACATTCAATATGGACAACACGCTGGCGTGACATCGCCGAGGGGAAAGAACGATTTGATTCGGCTGCAGTCGTCGAACGGAATGTTTCTCGACTATGGAAGAGATCAGGGTATGAGAGACATTGGGAAATTGTACGTGGACCAGAACCAACATGTCGCTGTTGGATCGCAGTATTATTTAAACGCCAACTCGGACGTACGAAACGAACATTACAACGACGAACAGGGTGAAACGAACAGAGCGCAAGCCGCGCCCATCGATGCAAATACCCTGATGCCCAACGAAATTTCGATACGGTCTGCTGCTGCTGCTCTAGCGGAAGAAGGATTCGCCGAGAGTCCACCGCCGCCGCCGCCGCCCAGCACCTCCACTCATCCACTCTACAGCAACAAACAAACGGATTCAGCAAGGTAACGTCGCGTGTTGTTGATCAGCCAAAGGATATAGTTACTAGTAAATGTAAGACGATGAGTCAAAGACTGAAAAGTAACGCTTCCGCCGTCCATCTAGGTACACAGCGAGTATGCAAGATCCTCCTCGCGGAGGATACTATCCTGCAAATACGAATCCTGCGGCTGCCACGACGTTGCAACCACGTCAGTATCAGTACAGTGCTTCAAATCCGTGGCAGCGAGAAGAGAAAGAAAGAGTAAGTTCGCGTTTGTCCGGTCTTTCTTCTACTAAAGTTGTTGTTCTTTCTATCTACGTTGTTGTTTCATTCTTTTACAAATCGCACTTCTTGTTCGCATTCAGGAACAAGCACGCAGAAGAGAAGCTGCCAGACACTGGCGGGACCAACAAATTGCCGAATTAAGTGCCCTGTCTCACAGGACGTCGCAGCAAGAGGAGCAACTGCGAGCTCTTCAGTTGGAGAGAGATTTTCAAAAGAGAGCCGAGGAAGTTGCCAACCAACAGGACGACGACGAGGAAAGTAACGACTTGGACACGGAAAACATAAGAATTCAGCAAAGTTTGCTTCGTACGCAAACGCAAGTGGCGCAAGATCGAGCGAACAACTCGTTGGACCAACATCATCTCAACTTGTCTAGGACCAATATGATCGGTCAGTCTGTCAAAGCGAACCAGCAGACTGGTCAATCTTCCCTCATGCACTCCACCAATGCCGTGGCGGCACACACGGCCAATAGTAGTAGTAGTTGCACGTCTCAGCAATATTCGCAAAATGTTACAAATTTACAACACCAGCAATCGCATCATCAACAACAACAACAACAACAACAACAAGATAATTCCGACTCGCATTTATTATCGTCAGACTTTCAACACGAACACGCCAGTCAAATGACAAATAACATGGGGCAATTTCAAATGTCATCCTTGATTCATTTGACCTCCTCTCAAAAACCCCATGGTTTATCATCTCAGTCTAACGAAGAGAAAGAAATGCACCGTAGACACGAGGAAATCAAGCGAAAGCAAGTTGAATTCGACGACGCTCAGTCGAGAAAGAAGGAAGAAGAGGTGAACAAGCAACAGCAAATTCAACAGCAAATGTATCAGCAACAGCATCATTCGCAGCAGTTGCAGTTGCAATCCCATTTAAAAACTCAACAGTTGTTGCACCCCAGTATGTTGCGATTGGACAGTTTGATTATTAACGGATCAAACGCATCTTGTAAGTATTTGTATTATCGTCGCTATGAGTGAATTTCAAGAGAAAGAA